GCCAAAGCTCCCTTAGAATCGGATTTCCACAGAGTTCTAGCCTCAAAGACGAGCCAAGCTCGAAGAACGCTCGGGCGGAAACCGAGAGAGTACCTTTTGATAATCTTCTCCTCTGAATACAGGGTCCCCGTCTGAGTTCCTGAGACCAATAGTTCCTCTGATCGTGTTCAAGCACTCAATTTACATTTTCTGCATTGGACGCGCGCTCCAATCTACGCATCTCAAACAATGCTCGGTCGATCGAGACCAGCGCTTCACGGGTGGTCTCTTGTCGAGTATGCTCAGAGTAGTAGGAGGAACTTCCCTCGACCTCGACTACCTTCTTTCAGGTCACCTCGAACGTGTCACGGAGGCAGAGGTGCGGAAAGTGTCGCTAAAGTTTTCAGAATGAGTTCACCGAACTCTGTCTCTCTTTTCTTTTGATCGCGAGCCCGCCCGGAGTCACTCGACCTAAGAGTTATGGCCACAAGTTATCACGTACTTGCTTCTGTCCACAGCATAAGTCTCCCGTCACGAGCACCGGCGCATGCTTGGCATCAAGTAGGTCTCGCAGGGCCGATTTGGAGCCACGACTTGACTTGAATAGGGAGATTGAGCGAGTGCCCCGTGACCCGACCGTTGAATATCGGCGTCCCCGTCAAAAGTTACGGCAACACCAGATCAATCAATTGTCGCTTGTCGTTTATTTCGTTTTGCGGGCTCATCGGATCGGAAACATTTCAAGCTTGATCACCGGCGGAGACTCGATGGTCACAATGGGCGGTGTTTTGAGGAACCCAAAGCCCAAACGCGCAACGAAGGAATGATACTTCAAATCGAACCTGAAATCGAAATTCATTATTGACTCTTTCATTTCATCTCGAATATCTGCGCAATCGGTGTCACTGATCTTGAGAGCTTCGAACACCCAACCCCCCGGGGGTACAACGACCGAAGGGTAGCTGGGTCTCGAATTCTTTGCGGACACTTTTCTTCTGGATGATTTCCCGGATGTTTAGCCCTCAATGAAGCGGGACGGGACGCAGTAACACGGAACAACTAAGACCTCAAAGAATACTTCACGAACAGAAAAAGTTCCGTTCGGGTGGGGAATTGATCCTATCCGTATCCTAAAGGCCGTCCGACGTATTCGATCCGATAGGGTACAATCGATATTCCTGAACTTCAACGATATGCGGAGTCGGAGTTTTCTACGTCTGGTTGTAGTCAGCCGGCTGTTCGTCGCGTTGGTTCGTTCTCAGTGTCGCCTAGTGGGGCGGTCGGTCGTTAGCGCGAATGTTCAGATCGCTATGATTCACTCGCTCCCTCCGGAAAATTCCGAACCAATCTTTCGGAGTCTTTTCCACCTTCGAACTTGATATGAGGTTGCATAACGCATGCGGAGAAAATCGCCGAGCTCTAATCACGAAGAAATGAAATCTAAGTATTGTAGTTTCGTGATTCGATCCCTGATAGCCGTAGCCCTTGGAATGACTTCCAAAGAGATTGCTGCGACGCCGACGTCGGAGTGAACGACGGAAAAATGTGAGAACCACCGATCGCCTTCATCAGCCAAGGAAGAAATACTTAACGGGCTCAGAATATATGATAATGCCTAACATCGTCAAGAAGCGAAGCAATATCCGAATCGCAACATTTTCCCTGTTCCCATGGATGTTCGAGAAACGTTGAATCGCTCTGGATGCGGTTCCAGAGCTGACGCAGGAGGTCACCTCTCCTGTTCTCCGATGGTCTGAGATTGATGTAGAGGAAAGTAATTTGTGATCGGCGTCCGAAACTTGTGGATGGCCGTTCCGGGCGAAAATTGAAGCACCGAACTCCACAGCCGAATGTTCTCGCGATTCCCGGATCCAGGCTTTCCACAGCGGCAGAGCGGCAGAATCGGGATTCTAAAGATTCAGACACACGTACGTTGCGTGAGGATCGACTTCCGTTTGCTTCTAGAATCATATTTACAAATTGTCAGACTGACAGCTGATGTGCCGTCAGTTAGGCAATGTTGACCACGTGTCGAAAGCTGCGCTAGGACACCATTGCTTGAACTCTTTGATCTGGCGTTCGAAGCATCCGCCAAAGCCACTCAAACGTGATTTTCCGCTCACGAAAGCAGCTAAGAAATTGAATTCTCCGGATCTCGGAATCCAGAAGGCTCGAAGCATCGAAGCTCGTTTCCCTGTCCAAGGGGCTCGACTGTAGCGATGGAATCGTTCTTATGATCTTCAATTATATCGAAAGTCTTCGTTACAAGCTATGACGAACGCTTGACATTTCCAAGACTGAATAGCTGCCCGGGTTACAATACATCTGATCAATCAAACTGAGCAGGATCCGTTCAATGCCACGAGTCACAAGACCGAGATGAAGTCCGGGAGACTCGTGTCGTCGATATGCTATCCGGTCTGTCCCAACGGAGTTTGAAGTAGCTCGGCGATCCGCCGTCAAGAGGTCTGCGGAAAATTTCCGTCGCGCACAGCGAGTTCTCTTCAAATATTTTAATGAGCCGTTTGTCCCGCGAAAAGCGAGGCTGTTTATTGACGTTCGCTCTTGACTTTCTTAATGCATACAGACGGTGGGATCCGCGAAGTATTTGTCGAGCTTCCTTTCTATTATTCAGTGCCGCCAACTTTAGAAGTCAGCGACGCCCACGATATTTCAGGCTGATGCGAAGGTAAGTCACAGGTTCCACGGGCTCCTCAAGAGATTGACCCACCAAGGAAGAAGAATGAGGAAATTCCTCAATCCTTAGCGGGATTCGCATCCACAACATTGTATTGTGTTCGGCTAGACTTTTGAATCTTAGTTTCGACTACGCAGCGGAGTCTTCCCGCGTGGTAGATTGCGTGATTCCGGTTCCCATATGTACACTTGTATCTTCGGCTTTGCTGCGTCAATCACCAATACTCAAGGGTCGTATTTTCAGCGGCTGTCGGCGTCAACGAGTCGCTTCGAAGGAAGACAAGGACTGACAGGATTATATAGGATGACGAAAGCCAAACGTAGATTTTGAGTCATCCGTACAAATTTACTTAGTAGTCCATGGGGCTCTTCTTGCTGAATTGCAATGCTTCCTTGGTGGAAAATAGTAAAACTGTGTTAGAATTTAGATAGGGGCAGCTGCGTTCCCCGATTTTTGACAGGCAAGATCCTCGTTTGAAGCAGCTGTCTGGATATTCCGCAGCACAAAATTTAAAGTGTTGTACGTTTCGGAGTGGTGCTCTAGACCGGCACCGTGCCGGAGCTCAAAGGTCCCTGCTGCGTTGAGCCGCGCCCTATGTCTGCTTTCCGGCCGATCACTAGGCTTCTGGTCCGCGGACACCATGCGAGGCGTCGACCTGGTCATACCATATCATGTCTGCTCCAGCGAGAGCCACTATGCTTTTAGCGATGTCCGCGAGCCGACTGTCTCTCGTTTCTATGCAGAATTGCCTGTGAAACCGTGAGTGCGTCTCTCCAACACCAGCTCGGGAACAAGTATTCTGCGACAGACTCCGCATCAGGAACGATCCCCGTCGCGTCTTCAATTTCATTTCAAGTACAAAGATTGTCGCCCTTCCCGTTTACAAAGAGCAGCTCTGGCGTGAATTTCTCCCTATCAGAACCGGTAGCAGTGTCGACGGTGGACTTTCGGGCTTGAGGGTCAGGAGGCAGAATGTTGCATAAAGAAAGCTGGAAACGCAAAGGGTAAGAATTGGATGTCGCGGGCGTGCCCGAAGAGTGTCTTCCAAGCAATGATTACAATTTCCACAGGTAGACGAGTTGGCGGGTGGGCAGACGGACGAACAATAGCTCAGCCGACGAGTCGCTTTCGTTTCCTGTCAATCACGCATTCACGCCTGACATCGACTTCGAACCACACTACTTGTCAGTTACTATTCGGTCAGACAGGCAGAGAGTGGTAACGATTGTGTAACGATTGAAGTTTTGGAATGGTATTTTTACCCCAAAACATCGTCCCTAGTCCGCTGCATTTTCCCGTTGATGTTTGACGGTAACATCTGGGGAATCCGGGATTCAGCACGTATCTTCGCAACGCGATCCATACATTCCAGTAATCACGGGGATTCTCCTGTGGGCGGAACATTCGCCGAGCTCTTCCCGAGTCGGATGCTTAGTTGACTCACTACAATGGATCCCACAACTATCTGCCGTGAGAATTCTGGGACCGATGAACCCCCCCGACCGGTTACTGTCCTTCGGAGATCCGTCGGTGTGCCGTTTCAGAAGAATCAATCAGAAGTGGAATGGGAATATATGATGGGAAAACCGGCATGATTGATATATGAATCAGAAAAGTAGATAAGGTGGCCGACGAATGATTCAGATACCATTTCAAAGACGGATGTGACCAATTTTTCAAGAGCGATCGAATTCGACTGACTGGCCGAGAGCGTCACGCGAGAAAAAATTCTATGAAAATCACATTGGCTGCCGGGCGTTCTCGAGTGAACTTCAACAATTCGACGCGGTCTTCTTCTGGCCTGGACTTCTGGCCTAATCAACTAGCCGTCATGCAATCCGTTCCCAAAAACAATCCGCAGTCCCACGAGCGCGTCCGACCGAAGTGTGTGACAGTGACAACGTTGTGCTTAGCTACAGCGCCCAGAATGAAATATCATGTAAGATGTACCTTGAGATCGGAATCCTCCTCGCCCTCTCTCTGTTCTCCCCTTCTTTTTCTCTCCGTCCCCACGTTAAGTCTCATGGCGCAGCCCAAAATTTCTTCCTTCCCCCGTTCTAGCTTCGGTTTTCTCACTCCTCCACCTTCGCAAGCGCTGGCCTTGTTTGCCCGGTGGGCATCCCTCCCCGAAAAAACTACAAGCTTCACTATATACACCGCGCGGTGTCCACTGCCATAAATTTCCATTGTGTCGCTGACGCGGAGCTCTTCAGATCCCCGGATCGAGAGTGGATCCTGTCTTTGTCGTTGCTCGTTGCTCGTTGTCATCGTCGTCCGGGATTTTGTGTTCATTCGTCGCCATCGGCAGAAAACAGTTAACAGCATGATTTGGATAGCGTTGTTGCTCGTTGTGAATGTCCTCGTTGTGTTTTTCTTCCTCTACATGAGGAGATCGGTTCTCTGTCCTGTCGATGCAGACATGCACGGAAAGGTTGTCGTCATCACCGGTGGTAATAGTGGAATCGGTCTAGAGGCGGCCAAAGAGCTCGCCCGGAGACGCGCTCACGTGATCATCGCGTGCAGGAGCAAAGAACGCGCCGAAGACGCAGTCCTGGAAGTAATTCGTGAAACCAAGTGGTCGAATGTCCGTTCCGTCAAATTGGATCTGAGCTCGTTCAAATCGGTCCGCGAGTGCGCCAACAATCTTCTCCAGAGTGAAGATCGTATCGACGTGCTCATAAACAACGCCGCAGGTCTCCCCTACGGCGGGAACGTCCTGCTGACCGAAGACAAAATCGAATATCAATATCAGACGAATTTCTACGGTCATTTTCTGCTTACGTCGCTCCTCCTACCTGCTCTCCTGAAGAGCGACTCACCGCGCTTGGTGAACGTTTCCTCGTGTCTCTACAAACTCGGCAGAATAGACCTCGAGAATTACGACCAGAGTAAGTATCGAGAGCTCGGGATGCAGGTCTATTCGAACACGAAGCTCGCGATCGTCATGATCACTCGAGAGCTCGCCGAGAGGTTCGGACACCGAGGACTCGGGGCTTTCTCGTGTACTCCAGGAACGTGCAATACGAACATCGCCCGCAACGTGCCCTGGTACATCCGCTATACCGTGGGTCAAGTTTCAAGGATTTTCAGTCGAAGTGCCAATGATGGAGCCCAAACGATTGTCTACCTGGCGGTAGATCCATCACTGAGCAATGGTGCTCTGAACGGAAAATATTTTATTGATTGTGAAGTGGAGCCTCTGCTCGCCTCTGCTCTGGACGAGGCGACTTCAGCGAAACTTTTCGCGTTCAGCGAGAAGCTCACTGGTGCCGACTACAGTATAATTTAGGCCACATTAGGCTCCATCAATCAATCGGAGACAATGTCCATGTTTTTCTCACCCTTGTCGGACTCTGTCACGATTGTGTCGTCACCGAGACGATCATATCGAGCTTCTGATAAAGTGATATCCAGTCGAGCTTTCATAAACAATTTTCTCTCGGACACTGCTGTCGACAAACAAGCATCACCAGCGGATCCCTGTGGAGACTGGAACCTGGAATCGTCGAGCTCCAGGTTGAGGATTCTTGCGGAGTAGTAGTTCGGCCGCTGGCGGCCACCACTGCAGGCATACATATCTTAGACAACACAGAAAAGGTTGGAGGATCGAAGCACAGCGGCATGGATGAGCGGAACTCCGAATCTCAGCGGAGCGCATAACAACGCTCGTTCGGAGAGCCCGTCCCAGACCGAGGAATCATGTCAGAAGTCACCACATTGGTTAGTTTCATGTTCAATATTATAAACGTTGTGTTATGTCTATTGTCCTTACGAGAGTGCTTCTGTTGTTCGTTGATCGGGGTTCGGTAATTAATGTCACTCAGGATCACTGGTCTGCATGAGAGAAGTGATTTTCATATTTTTATGTTCTGTTGACGAATTGTTCTCATTTAAATAAAAATCTGGCAGGGAGATCAAAGCTTGGTGCTTTTTCGTATATGTACCCATTGAGAATTTCTGTAGGGAGTCGCTAGGATTCGACCGTCTATGAGCTAGTAGCCAACTGTGACGGAATTCGAATAGCTGGGAAGCGATTTTTGGGTCCTCCTCGGGACTCGTGTTCAAGCTGGGCTCCCTCGGTCGATTATCATGATTCACGATATTGTCCGAAAAAACAGATAGAAGATTTCACGATGTGGAAGTTTGTGAAATTTCTTGCTGAAAGGCACGAACTTGGACGGCGAAGCTGCATGCTTCAGCTATGTACATGGAGCGTAGATAGCCGCGCTTCGAAGACATCCCGGGACATGCAACACGGATTGATAATCTAGCTCTCATCGACAGTCCGAGCTTGTACTATGCTCCCCCCGTAAGATCACTCTCGGTCCTTCTCACGTCTCAGGTTTATTATCTTGTAGGATATGCAGCGAGTCTCCGAATGATCAGATTCTGTCTCAACTCCGAACGTGCCGTTCCTCAGGAAATTTCAAGCATTCCGGGTATTTTTGTGCACGATTATTCTCCTCAGAAAAGTACCCTAGAAGAATCTCATGGGCACGGCAGGACGATCTAGTCATATGTCGGGAATAATCACGAGATTCTGGTAGTTCTGTATCGTTGGAGGCTCATGCTCATGAGCATGAGTCGGAGTCCCAATAATTACGGATGGTGGTCAATGGGCAATGGAATAGCAAGGCATGGTCGTTTGAGTCGGCTCCATCTGCGAAGAACCGAGCACGTCACCATAAATCTCCTAAAGCTCGGTCCTTTCGAGCTCGCTTGCTTCAAGATCAAGGCTCGGGATCCTCCTCCACGCAGAAAAAAACGCTGTAAGTTTGTATTTGTGCTTCGAAATGCGCTGATACATACAAACCGCAACTCGGCTCAAGAGAACCTCGACAATAACCAACGGTGTTTTCCGAGAAGACAAGTTTGCCGTCCCTTGCCGCCCATGTACCCGCTACATCAAATTCCATCATAAGAAGCAGAGGGAGCTGATGCGCAGTGTTGACGGGAAGGGAATCTTTCGAAATGACGCAAATGGATGGAACACTGGCATAACGGATTGAAATATTGCCTGTTGTCTCGAGGAGAACCTCTGCTGGCGCGGCCTGCCGATTGACATTGTGGGAGGGGATTGAAAACTAGAGCCAGAGTTCTCAAGCTGAAACGACCGATGTCGTTGACATACTGTCGCGCTCCCTGTCAGTGTCGAGTGAATGATTGTTTCTGCTACATTTTACAACCGACGAAGCGTTGTCTTCATCTTTCAGAGACGACGGATAATATTTTACGGCCGCTTAGAGGCACGCGATCGAGCTCGTAAAAAAAACTTCGCCGTTTTGCTTGCCCCGGTGGAGGATTCCCTGTTCGGATTCAAAAACAACGGCGAGAGGAGCAGGGGAAAAAGACCTGGAGAGAATGTCATGACGGATGCAATTAAAGCCCACGACTCGATTGAGTAAACAAGGCCGTCGGTCAAGGTCAATCATCATTCATAAATAAGCCTTCGGATTCTCGCCCGGGATACCGACTGACAATTCTTTCGAGCATCTAGGATCCGTACTCCATGTCACCCGCAGGTCCGGTTCGTGGAGGGAGGTCTACCGAATGCCGCTGAACAATCTGGGATGAGCATCCGGCTACGAAATTGCGGAACAAGCTTGGAAATCTACCAGGCGTCAACCGTCGCTTCCGTCGGACTTGAATTGGACAAGCGGAACTCTGCCTAAACGAAGACGTCGACGGAGATTCCATCGGTGTTTTTGCAGGTCCGGCCTCAGAATATCGAATAGCTGTCTCCTGCGTCAATTTTCCGCTACCTTGCTTGCCAAAGTGTCCTTTCCTCCCGCCGCAGATACAGAATCTTATCTCTCCCCATCAACACAACATCTTCTTAGCTCCGGAGCGCGATTTCTGTTGACGCTAGAGCCACAAGAACCATCCCAAGTCCGTCGAGAACTCGAAGATCGCTCCGAGCTCAGTTAGAACTTCCCGGTCGATCTCGTTTTTCTCAGTTTTTTGAGAGTACCGGGCGGATGGATTGAATTTCTAGGAAGGGACTACGGCTTAACATTTGTTCTTTGCGTCTCAGCGGAAAGGATATCATCCCGCGATATTCGCTCGACAGCTATAGAGGCAGAGTCCACCCATCGGCCGCCTCGAGCGTGAAGGGGAGGCATTGCGTGATGTAACATGTTTCCAAAACACCTCATTTCGCTCGCATCTTATCTCGCCCCAATCCAGTACGGAGGGAGAGATCGGGAAGACACTTCCTCCCGATTTGTTAACGCGGAAACTGGAGAATTGAAATTCCCTACCGACCCTGACTGAATTTCCCGTATCACGCATGCAAGTGAGACCGTCATAGAAATTTTATTGAGCGAATCGACTGAATTTTGAACCGCTTGTCTACGCTTGGCGCTTCATTCTGTGTCCATCATCAGAGCTCTTCGCGGGTAGGGATCTGAGGCGGGCGGCACCCGGACCTCCACTCGACGCTGCGGCTTGGTCATTCGCAGCCAATATGAACTCTTCCATGAATTCTGGCGAGATATTCTGTTGAAGAGCCTCCTCAAGCCCCTCAACTCTGGATCCGAGCTGCGAATATTACACGAGACACTTAAGGGTGAGATGCTCCACGTAGATGAAATTGTCTGGACTTGAGGGTGCCTCACTGACCTGAGATACCCCCTGGACTTGTCGCACCAGGCGATCGATCGAGGCTCTGCGGTCCCTTGGTCTCCTGAAGACTTTCACAAGACCAAGAACGATCAGGCTCGCAATCAACAGAATCAGGAGCTCCAGCATCGTTGTCTTGAATGTCCAAACTACATCCTGTTCTTATGAACGATCGTAACTCGAGCCGCCTGGTCCGCCGCCAAGGCGACTCCATATGATTAAATGTGTGTTGATAAACTTCTTCAAAACTTGGAAAATAAAAAATGGTCACCGCTCACCACGGACCAGGCGTTCCTGGCGCGCGAATCCATCCGGGTGTTTGTTATCTCAGGAAGCGCGGCTAAGCAAACTCTGTCTCCTACGCCTCTGCCGTCGCTGATTGCTTGATTGCATCTGTCGAAATGTTATGCATCGAATGAAACAAGTCTCATGACTCGCCAATTACACCGAGGAATTGGCATGACGTCCAACTAAGAGAAATTGAGTGGGAAATCGGAGTCCTTCTCTAGGGCGGTATGGGAGACAGGATCTTGGGCGATTTGGGCGATCTTGGGCCACAGCTCACGATCCGAGTTGATTTCCCAGTTCCGGAGTCGTCGCCCACCGCGTCCACTTCCCAATAATGCGGGGAATCGAGGAAACTTCTGGGCCCGCCTTGGCTCTGACACGCTCCAAGCCTGGCACGGTTTTCTGCTTCATGAGGGTATTTGTTCGCACGAAATTGTACAGAATAAGTCCTGGGTTGATGTAGGCTCCTGTTCTGGGGGGCCGACGGACGCATTGTTCTCCGGAATATAAGGGCGTGAAACTCTTCGGGCCACAGATGGTTCAAAATTTTGGACTTGACTTCGGCAGAAGACATTTTAGGTGAAAATCTGTCCTTGAACTTCATCGTGGATCGATATCGATGTGCTGAGGGCGGATGATGCGATGTCGGACAATAGCTTCGGGGAGAACATTCCCCGTACTGTAGGATCCCAGTGAAGAGGATCATCATTTTCCCATAATCCGGTGTGCTACCATGCCTTGGGGGCAGAGGGGACGTCTACATAGGTAGCTGCTCACGGATCGGATCTCGATTGCTAGAGCTCTCCGAAGTGCTCCATGATAAAACCATCTTTATTTCAACGTTAAAGAATTTGTCCACCGCAAGCGTGAAATCTCGCTCACGCGTCCGGAGTTATTCTTGACCCAGGAGTAGACAAGCTCCTTCGGATTCCAAGCATGCGCTCTTAGGACTGGCGGATCTCAGTTGTCGTCTGTATCCGACGAAGCGGAGCTACCTTGTCGCGTTCTCCGGCGGGGTAGCCTGATACCAGCTGCAGGTGTCGCGCCCTGAGGCATGGTATATATGAGGGCAAGCTCGTCGAAAAATTGATCAGGGAGATCGCGCTGAATTTCCTCCCTTTCCCTTTGCGCATTGAGGACCTCCTCCGCTCTGCGAACTCCCGGTCTGAACTGAGGGACGATGGTTGACTTGTAGACGATATTCATGCGACGATTCAATTATATAATGGATCACAGATCAGCTTCCCGATGGACTTTTCTCCAAACATCTCTACTAACGGAGGAAGGGATATCTGCATTGCGTGAAGTGCCCTGCACGCGCTCGAGCGATCGATCGCCCCGAAGGCGTCTCATGATTCGTGAAAAGAAGCCATATACACTGCCCAGGCCTTGACCAATCCGCACGATAACGAGGCCCAAAAGGCTCGCAACCAATAGGTAAAATAGCTCATCGGGAATACCGAACATCGTCGTTGGGATCCTCTGAGTTCGGTATACAATATTGATAGCTTCTGTTTTGTTCGTGAGTTCGGAAGTGTTCATGGATCAGTGTCATAGAGCGACGGTCTCGCAGTCGACCCAGGGTTCCTTTTGAGTTTCCTAAGTTTTACTTCGGCCCTCGGCTTCGACCCGGCGAACAGCATCTTGTACGGCTTCGCGATGTCAGAATGCGACGTTCATGTCAAAACATGGAACAGAATTGATGCTGTCGCGGCCGTTGCTGAGGATGCAGATAAGTCTAGCTCCTTCGAGGTATTGATTAGCATATCATTAACCCGACCAAGAAACGGGGGACGCGAATGACATGACTAACATGCTACAGTATCGGGTTACGCATTCGTTCGCTGAACTGGATCCATGGCTCTGGACGCAGCCCTTTTGCATGAAAACTCGTGCATGTATTGTTTGCCGGATTCCGTCGCCCTCGTGACATATGTGCTACCTGACACCAAGTTATGATATCGTCCCCAAACATGCTTCTGGGTTAGTGGGTTACGACTTCGAGTAACAAGCCACTTAGTTTGCATATTTTAGACGGCGCGCTCTTCGTTGAGGGGTTGCGACATCGTTTCAGATCGAGGAACTAGTGCGGGGGGAGAGAGCGGCGGAGAAAAACTCCGAGACTGCAGTGCTCGGTGTCGAATTTTCAAGTCACGACTTTTGTCGTACAATTAATCGTACGCGTCCGATTCGATTGATCCTTACTCTGCTCTCATATCGAAGATATCTCCCCCAGCATGGACAATGGAAAATTCTGTCTCGATCATGTGTCCGCTTTCTATGTAGGTAGATATACCCGAGCCATTAGGGGAGCTTCGGTAGGGAGCTACTAGGGTAAAGTAGCAGGGGCCATTTCATGTTTTTTGTCAAGGATCGGAGACCTGCTAATACTCAGAGGGCTGCTGTGAGGTTCCGAGGTTCCGACGGAAATTCCCCAAGCAAGTATCTTCGAGAGGTCGATTCATTTCGAACATGGACCGGCGGGAGCGAGTATAGAAGACCAAGAGACTCCCGAGGCAAGCCGATCGTTCTCTCCTCGGTGCCGTGGAACATAATCGATACTTATGGGATTGCGAGGAATCGAGGAAGTTTCCCGGTCGATTATTGGCACACCCATGAAGCTCCGGGGACTCTGCCGGAGTCAGAGCTGTAGTCAGAAAGTAGCTGACGCTCTCAAGCCGGGGAACTACTCATGTTCGGAGAATCGACGATTCGAAGTTCATAGATTCGGCACATTTGTCGCGGACTTCGCGTCCAGGAAGGAAGTACATAGATCATATCGGGACCGAGTCTCGGATGAATACTTGCTCTGGCGGAATAATTTTTGCGAGTGGCCTGCTGGGAACGACTCGTTTCGCTCGCTTATCGCTTGAATCCTCGGATCTTGTTGGAGAAGGAGTCGACGGGAAACCTGAACAGCCCCTTCCCGGAGATGTTAGCTCGCCCCCGAGCTCGCCTTTCCGACTTCAACAATTTGACTTACCCTGAGGAACCCTACACCTTTCCGCGATGGGCTGGAGATGACGCTGGTGTAACCTTATTCTGAAGTCTTTATCAAGCTGACCTCATGTTCAATGTATGAGGTGCCGGCATACATTTCCTCCTTGTTCGGGTCGTTTGCCGAGCGAGGACTCAAGTATACACCGTGAAATTCCTTTCGTTGCATCAATGAGAATTTCTGCGATGTGAGAAGCAATACAATGGTAATGTCGGCATTTCCCCGATCACCGCAAAACCGATCCATATTCTCAGATTGTCCTTTGTATGACCATAGACATGTTCCGAAGGAGTCGATGAACACGAATATCGTTAGGTACTTTTCTTAGGCTCCTTCCCGAATTTCCGAACTAATACTGATTACAAATTGAATTTCCGCGCTGTGTGCGTGAACCCAGGGCTAGAGTGGAAATTCTCTCTCAGTGAACCGTCTCTGATGGATCGCATATTGATTTTGAGCTCCACCCGAGTATGGCTTATAGGGGGAATTGCTGCGGAGCTGAATTGTTTCTATGAATCGGGCAAAAAATACGAACTAAAGTTTCCGCTGGTCGTCCTGATGTCCGCCCGGACTTTGACCTTCCCCCGGGAGGAAAATGCCCTCCAATATGGCAAGCCTTGTTCAATTTCTCTCGGTTGCGTAGGGATCAGGGAGAAGTTCGGGTCTCCCTGGAAATTGTCGGTAGCGAGTCGGTATTCGCCTTGGTGATTGCACAAACAGCGCCCCTGCGGCAGTCTTTCGCGGCAGGGAGCTTGTAGCTGTGCGACCGCTTTTAATGGAGACCAATTTTTCAGCAGAGCTCTTGGCTGACAAATGACCGCCCCTGAAACTTCCGTTGAGATCAGAACCGCTGCTTCCACCAAATGCCTGGTCCGTCCGATTCGAGATTGAAATATTTCGAGCATTATGCATAAATCATTGGAATGCAAGGAATTGAACAATTACCCAATACCTACTTCATTCTAACCCATCTGCGATTTTCTGGAGATTGCTGGGCAGGGTGAATCGAAGATACCCGGATCAACAACGTACGTCTTCTGTCATTTATTAACAACAATACATTATTCTCCGCAAATCTTAACCACTAGTCCATGAATAAAAGGAAGGGTTGAACTATGTACATGTAGCAGTGCGTCCAGCACAGAATCTGCTTCCGAGTCGTTCCAGGATTGATTCAATAAATTAAACAGTCACTCATCACGGAAACTTTCCCCGCTAACTACACTTCTGGCTCTCATGAGCCAGAAACTTGATTCCATCGTTGAGCTGGCAGGCTGCATCGGTGTAGAAAAGTGAATATGGCAAGCAGTTTTCCTCTTTCATTGTTTGCAGCGACTTAGACAGGCTACGATCTCGCGAACAGCAATATGTTTTAATGGAACGGAACTCCATTTGACACAGCTCTAGGCTTCGTTGAGCCGCCCACAATAATCAATGGAGCCCTTTGTGAGCGGAGCCGTCTTTCTGTCCAACCAGTGCTGATTCGCCTTTTCCCGTATTGGCCCAGTTCCTTCTGCGTTAAGTTTATGTTGATTTATTTTCGCTTGTCCTCTTCGTCAACTTGATCTTCTTCCGAATCATCGGCGGGTTTCTTTTTCTGGGAGCTTTTGAATGGAGCATTGAGCGCCTGTATGAGCGGGTCCACGGGCCGCTGGAAAGGAAATAACTCGACTTTCGACTACACGGATCGAGAGCAACGAACACCAACGAGAATGAAAGCTACTCCGGGAAATAGCGCCGAAACGGATAGGGCTGCCGATGCTCACCGTCGTGGTAGTTGGGGGTAGCCGCAAGTTATTGCTCTTCCGTTTATCGAGATTACTGTTCATTCGATTCACCGGCACCAGGATCGGGGCTCCGTATCCCGGAATTAGCGGCGCCGGAGGAACGATCATCGGCGCGGGGGCTGAGCCCGCGACCGCGACGGCTCGGCCTGAAGTTCTGAACGGCACCTGGGAGTCAATGTGTTTTAGTAGGAAAGCCCGACACCGACGGAAGTCAAACAATTAGGGATCGTATAATCGAGTTACACTCCCTAAGGAACACAGTGGATTCGGACGTTGACCAGCAGACTATATAAAATCCCACCATGGTGAAGACTACGGCTTCCCTCCACTCGACGGATCCGTCGAGACGGACGGAAATCCAGCAGTCTCCCCGATAATAATCAACTTCGAAAAGGTCGTATGGATACGAAGTAGTACAGAGCGAGGTGGCTTTGTACGACCACATGCAGAGATCTTGAGAAACAGCGATTTTCGGTCAGGATCTTTCCAGTAGCGACGACTGGAAGTGTCGATAGCTTGCTCCTTAGGTGCAATCGGGTAGCCCATGCGTTGGGGAGTGGTTGCCCAAAGTGATTTGGCGTCGCCCAAATGGGCAGGCCAACTCGACCCTCGAACTCCGCAGGCTACTTACTCTTCGGAGATCAACTAGTGGATTGTGATTTGAACCGAGCAAATTTCGCTTCTTTCCACCGAGTACCGTATTGAAGACTTTAGAAGCTGACATTTGCCGTCCACTGCGTCCTAGACCTATGGAGAGAACGGGCCTTACCCTGAAAGGGGGTCTCAACGCACCTTGCAGTCTCTGGATCACCCCCGGCTTCGCAGGTTTAGGAACTGATTTAGGAGCCTCCACCAACGGAGTTAGTTGTGAAGCCTGAGGTGTTAAGGAGGAGGAGGAGGAGAAAAGTGACATGTCGGGAGAGAAACCGAGGGGGTTCCCCAACTGCGAGTGCCCGCTCAGAGCTGCAGTTCCGAAGGCTTGAGAGCTCAGGGATTGTCCGTCTGGAAGAGATAAGCGAGATTGAAGTCATCAGTACTGATTCCGAAGGATACTTGTACTTTCTGCTGTCCACGCGTCCCAATCAACGTAGCTGGAGGCAGCGCGTAACACGAGGACAATGATTGGAACGAATTCGAAGGACAAAAATGTAGTTCGACTTCCACAGGTTTCGGCAGGGTTTCCGGGACGACTTGCCGATGCGAATTGCAGGAAATCGCTGGAAACGGAAGTCCTCCAGCCCAGAGCGAAATGAACACCACTGTTCCGACTTATTCCCGGGAAAAGGTAGGGCATTGCTTCCGACAGCAAGAGTTTTCACATCTCAGATACACATCAATTTTCGAGATTGAACCGGAAGGTATGGGTTTCTCTTCCGGGAGAGGGATGATAGTATTCTTTTTCGGGACAGAACTCTCACATGAAGCTATGGCTAAGGTTCAGGAGCTGTATCCAAACTCCCAGGAAATTCGAGCGCGAATTCGCCTGCAGCAGATCAGCATCCTTGTTTCCCGGGGTTCTCCCACCGAGACAAACCCATTTTGCGTATCGACGTGAAAGTCTAACAATCAGAACATAAACAGTGGGATCGGGAACTCACTCAGATAAAGTCCTTGACTTCCCATGGAGGGAGACATCAGGCTGACCCCACCTCCGACATGAGGAGCCGGAATGTGGACTGTTTGGGGAATGGACGCCTGTCTATAGAGATTACTCTGCACCGGGACGGATGCGGAGCTGTAAGCTGTGTATCCGTGCGATGCGGAGTGACTCGGAACGCTCGTGTATTTGGGTAGGCTGGAAAAGTTCGTGATCGTTGATAATAATCAATTTTGTTCCGCCAGCCGCTCTAGATGACGGAAAGCGTATATTGTAACATCTGCGGAACTTGACCTACGGATATTCGCCCCCCGTGGTGTGGATGGACTCTTCAGCGGACGTATGCAGCGCTTCGTGACTGGTTGCGCTGGGCTCCATATCTTCAGCCGTTTGGTTCGGTCGGCGTACGTATGTCGGTGATATGCTGCTGGACTGGGTATCGAACCTGCGATTTCATGTAAGGAATGATGGGTCACCGATTTTCGTCTCACAAGCAAAACATCACGATTCATGCGGGGTCAGCGAATGCTCCACTTAGGTCGGAAGAAGTCGAGTGGATTCAAAGTAACGGGAGCAGCATGAGAGATAGGAGGCGCGGAAATCGAGGTTCATTGAACGCTCTCCGGGGAAGGCCCTTACCGCGGCAGAGGGCCCTTGCGGCTCTTTATGTCGCACCCGTTGAAGAACTCGAGTGTGTTGCCCGAGCACTTATGGGTGAACATCATCCACGCGTGGAAGCCGTGCCTCCGGAAAATCTTATTCACGCATTGGATGTCGTCCTCGAGATTATCGTCTCTCAGCACTGCAATGAGGAAGGTGGTTACGCGTCGTTATAGAATTATAGTTTCCGTAGTTATTAGTCGCAGCCTATTAAGGGCCGATTATTATCTTTCGTCATGCGAAGCACTATCGGTCTGAAATTCAGAAAGGGTTTCGACCGAGATGATTTGACCGCTTATCTCTGCGTGGTTTCGGATTTTGACCGTACACGTTGGAGTTTTGTTCCGCTTGAGCTTCGAACTTGGGCTGTTTGCGTCCAGACAAATTGAGCCGTCTGCGGCAGGGCGAACGACAAAGTTGTCTCGTTGACTTCGACTTTGAGCAAAGAGAAACGATAATAGACGTCGCGTCTTGGCATGCCGGCTTCTTCAGCCAATCTTGAACTTGAGCAAGAAACTCTTGAGCGAGTAGCTCTGCAGGTCAATCCCCTGAGTTTTTGGATAATCCGCGGTACGAATACCGATTTTCACCCTTCGTTTACGTGGGCTGCCGATCGTTTACCCGCATCGAGTCCAGGTAGCTAGACACCGATTGACCTGGTGGAAGTTTTCTTCCGTTTTTTCCCGCCTCTTCTGCTATCCTCTCTCCGTACAAGTCATTTAGCACAGAAGACTTGACTCTGACAGCCCAGAGGTGTAGGTTTCTTTTGCGAAGTGATCGTCGACGTTTTTCCGGCCCGGCTGACCACACCTCTCGGAGTTGTTACGAAAAGGCAGCAGTGTCGAATTTAGACGATTTTTACAACTGTCTACGCGAGACTATAAAAATACTCGGCAGCGCTTCCGATTTCAAATCTCACCGCTCTGTACTTCCTGTGCAGAATCAGGGAACAATCAAATTGTGTCAACCTTCGATCCGGTCGCCGAGCGAACGGTAAAGGCTGTGCGCGAGAACAACATTTCCAGGATCGCTTCTTCCGCTACCTCGGAGACAACTTCGAAGGCTCATTTTTTTTCCCAACCTCAATCAAAACCAGCTATGGCACTGCCCACTGTGCTTGTGCACCTTTTCTGACGGATCCAGCAAGCAAACAAGCGTGCGAGCAAGAAGAGCAAAGAACCAGCCCCTCCCGAGGTGGCTAGCGATTTTCCATAAGCACCAGAAGTTGCACGTCAGTCAGCCAGCCGATCTGTCGGTGAGTCCGGCGCGAAAGACGAGCGGTTAGCGCTCCGCATCTGCGTCGTTTTTTCTTTCGCGGCTTCCCGGAACCGATTCCGTGACGTACCAGCATCTCAAACTCGATGTCTCCCGTGCCTTCTATCGGGTCCGCCCTCTTTCGGACATCTGTTGAGAAGTCTCCCTTCGTATAGCAACGAGCTCAATGAATGAATGAATCAAGCAATGGTTGTCGGCCAATCCAAAATGCAAATGTGTACAACGTTTCGAGCCGACGCAGGGACGTTAGTAGGCCTAAGATTCTCCCCCGTTCAGACGAGCTCCCTCCTGTAATTCGTGCTCGAAGGAGCAGTTTCGGACTTGTACGAATGTAGATTGATGCCGGCATCGGTCTAATTGGTGGAACGGAAAGCAGCAAGGCCGGAGACGGAACTGCAACCAGATTAGGGAATGGCTGCGATCGTGGTTAGAGCAGCAGCAGCAAGCGGAATAGTCGCGACAGCGGCAGACTTTCTCGCCGCGCAGATCCGCGACCGGATAGCTATATTGACAACGTAACGCCGGCCCGACGACATTCGAAGTTCCTGAATGGAACACCAAGCACCTTTTTGTTGAATTTCCGCTCGCAGACAATCACCACGAAACAAACACTGCGAACGTCTATTTATCGCCTGTCAGAGTAGCCCGAGCGGATGAAAAGACGGTGCTCAGACGGCTTTCTTCTTCCGATACAGCCGATAATAATTTCGCTCAACTCAATCCGCGAGAGACACCATGAGCGGAAGTGCAGAAATCAGTCAAAATCAAATCTGCCAGAATCGCGCATGAAGTAATAGTGGGTAAAATTCCGCAGAAGGGGGCAGGATACTTCTGAAGGCTCTTCATTCTCACCAACGTCAAGCAGAGGGAATAATAATAGATCGGAATCATGAGCGTTTTAGAACGGAGTGGGAATGAGTCTGGCGAACGACTCTTCCCGATCCCGGATCTTTTGCAATCAGCTGGGTACTCGAACGCCGCTGTCCCGACCGAAGAACTGGAGAACCTGTCACCCAGGAAAAAATCGGAACGACTTCCGAAAGGCGATTGGCTCTCAGACTCTCAGCGCAATGGAGCTGGATCCGTGGCTGCAAACGACGTCATCGGGCACTCGATGCTACCCTTAATCAAGCATATATGGGTGTCCTACTCTACTCACTGTAACAGGGCACTTTGCAGACGTTCTCCGAGTAGCCGGTGTAGGGTTGACACCAGTACTTGTCATTGATTTGGAAGATTCCATGATCGCCACTTCCGTCGTAGCGTCCCTTGTGGTACGCTCGAGTGTCGAACCGGCTCTCCCAATACGCCAAACACAACCCTGTGGAAAAATCGGATATTTACTTTTTATCATTCGAATGAGCTCGCCACTACTTCTTATAGCACCAATGACACATCGAGCGGATCCGCGGTCGGGGAAGTGCTCCTGGTGCCGGCAATCGTCCGATAAAATTCTCCCCATCGGATTGATGCACCTCACACAGCCAACACCGATGATTCTGAATTATCGTAGGCGACGCGAGGAAGATGACGCCGCGCGATAAGCGCAGGGCACCAAATGATCTGAGGGGGGTGGGGACGCCCATCGAAGGAGTTACGTTCGTCGAAATGACTTACATTTGTCGAGGTCCCGTTTGCTGAATTTGAAGCGATCGTGTAGCTCACGAGCAAGCTCGCAGCGATCGTAAATTTTTGCCGACGTGATACTGAACGTAAGCGCCGTCACCGAAAAGAGCCCCAGCAGCCAGCACCGGGGCGGAAGGAGCATCTGAAAACATCATCAAGTATCGAATTAGAGATTGAGGCCAGCAATCGGGAGTCGATCTTCCTGTTGGACAGCTTGTCGCAATAATACTAGACAGATGAACTCGCCGGGCGATCGCTCGATTCAGTTTGATCTTACTCCGCTTTCACACGTAAATATCCCCGGATCAGATCGGCCCGGGTACGAATCAAGCTCATGAACGACGGAGTGAGCGACCAGCCGGATTCTCAGATCGAGAGAAAGAATCAGCTGTCCGAGAAAACGGCTGATTCAGTCAGAGACAATGGAGCCGAAAACGACGTTATCTGACCGACGGCGATTCTCAACGATTTCAAGCGTAACTCGCGGCCGGATCCGACTCAATGTGTTAGAATTATTTCTCTCTTATTAAAAGAAGTGTTCGCCGTCTCGAGGCTACCTATACATGATATGATAAAGGTGAGAATGTTCCTCTCACGAACACTTTCCCCGGACAAACTACTTTACTTTCATTTTATTACCGAGTCATGTGCCGGTGTGTTTCCGCTTTGCTCCGGAAACTCTGAATCAGACAGTGCTTTTTTGACTTTACGAATCACACCTCCCGCTGCCTCCACATGAAGCGTCCGATAGCTTCTCCGGAACGAGCTAAATGAAGTCGATTCGGCTCTGGCCGAAGCGTCGGATCGCCTCCGCCAGGTGTCATCGTCCCATGGCATGACACCACGCAAGAGCATGCGGCTCGCCTCGGGAACGGTTTATGAGAACCGGAGCTCGAGAGGATCTCGCGTTTTTTCCCAAGACACTGGTGAACTTCTTGATTTTCTCTTCCGATGCACATTCGTACGTGTGGGAGCTCTCCGGGCTGACAGAATTGTGAATTTCTTATTTTCTTTGACTCCGTCTCGATAGATCGGCGCACAAACTTTCTTTTCAAACGGAGACGCTTCCACCGGAGCGGTCGTTTCTCGGGAGTGTTTTCTATTCATCGTTGCTTCCAATCATAAAGCCGGAGGAGGGAAGAAGAATTATTTTTAATATTTTCTTCCCCGAGTTTTCCGTTCCGTCCTTCGGGCTGTCGCGCTCCCGTGGCACTCCCATCCGCATTTCCATCTTTCCACAGACATTCATAATAATCGCCGGTGAACGGTTTCACTTGAGGCACAGCCTCACCAATCTTGACTTTCATCGCGTCACCTTCAATCGGAGTCTTGTTTTGAATAGTTAACCCGAGTCCGGAAAGCCGCCCAGCTCTGAACTATGAACCGAAAAACCGTATTCGAGATTAATCGCATCAAGAGCTCATGCCAGTTGAAATGAGTGTGCCAACATTCTGTTTGCTGGCGATTAGTGGTGAGCAACGCACCCGACCCGTTCCAGGGATCTTTTACGCCGGCTCGCCGGCTGCGCTTCGGTTTCGTTCAGTTTTTCCTGCATTCCTTCTTCAGAATCCCTCCGAAAGATGGAGCGGCCGTCTGACGGTCTATCGTTCGGTGGCATCCCCACCTCGGGCGTAACTTACAAGCCCAGACCCGTTAGACTGAGGCATATACCGCTTCGGAGCCCAACCGATGCGCCAGTAAGCGAGTCGGTGGGTGAGTGAGTGAATCAGTCAGTTAGTCAACTAGCTTGCGAACAGCCGGATGTCCTAAACCGCTTCCTGTGCGCTCGGTCGTCCACGCCCATGAGCGTATCGAGAATGTACCGACAGACCACTGCGATCAGAGAAGGTAAATTTGTTGCGCCGCACGGTAGCGATGTACGTACTTCCGTGGCGGTCACTTTGTCTCCGAGTGGCCTCCGAGTCGGCAACATATTTTCTTGGGGCACGATCGAGGGCTTGGAGCTCGGCTTAAACGATTAGAAACTCACTTTCGAAGGCATGCCCAGGATGAGTTCCGCTTACGAGAGCGTTGTGGGAGCTGTACAAAACGCCCGCACGAGCCCTTTCCGCGACCCAATCGAAGGGCAGGTAAGCTGTAGCTCTGATTGGATTACGCTTATAAAACGTTGAGTATTAAAAGTACGCGCCCACCCGTTCCGTACGAGAAACAGTTGCCGTAAGCTCCGATGGAGAAGGCGTGTTCCCTCGTGTGCTGCCTGCATGCGCGGACGTGCTCGCCACACGTGCGGACACGTAAGCGAGCGTGAGTCCCACGGCGTGAGTAAGCACTATGCGGTGGTGTCGACGCCGGCGGCTACGGCGGCGGCTTATCAATGAATCGTCGTTTTCAGAAAGATGCTCGGAACACTGCCGCAACCGACGTATCGGATCGTCTGTCGGCGTCAAATCGTGCGGAGCCTGCAGGTCTACCAGCTTTTGATCTAGATCTACGGCCAGATATTTGCTTTAATACGCTTCGACCAAGCCGCGGATAATTGCAGCCATGAGGAAGTTCCTGCCTTAACACTCGTTCTGACCATCGAGACAAGCACCGGAAGGGGAGTCACAGCTTCAGGTTTTTTTTCCCGAAATGGAAAATTTCTTCAATAGATAGTTTCGAATCGGGTCTGAAGTTCGGATCGAGTCGCTCGCTCGCTTCCGAGACGGGCCTGGGTCTGAGCGCGTAAGAATAACGGTTCCATGCATCCATGCAACGGGAAGTGGCAGCCGATTGAATTAGAAACTCGACTCGGAAGAACAAACGGGGGAAGCTAAAAACAGACACGCTCCGCTCCTAACCGGTAATTCACAGAACTTTTATGCAATCGAGGCAATGACGTAGCTGTTAGTCGGAAATGTCTTCTTCAGCTTCCCGTGAAGCAGAAGAACGGACGGGGATTCCGACGCTACTGAGCGAGTACCGACCGTAGCGAGCCACCTGGCGTCTCACGGAGCGAGAAAAGTACTGCGGATGCGGCCGGCGTCGATCGAACTATTTGGGCTTCCCATGGAAGCTCGTGATCGTCACCGATATCTCGTCTCGCACTCCGATACTGACGTCCTTGCTTCGATGACTGTTTTTCGGTGTTCGTCGCGCGCGCGTCTCCGTCATGGACGTCAATCAGCGCAGCGAGAACGCTCCTCGAGCTGCCAGTTAATTTTTCGGAGGATTTATTCAACCGAATTCCATTTCTGCCGTCGAGCGATTCATCTCACAAACTGGCTCGCTCAATTACATCATTCTCGAATCAAGTCAAGCGTCTTCACGTCTGAGCTAGTTTAACATCGATGCGCTGAAACTCAACGGAGCCCGAAGACGATCCTGTGTTTCCTTCGAAGAGGGAAGAGAAGGAGTGGAATCATTTCATGAAACGGTCCGTTGTGGATAATCCGTTATGAGATAATTCACGGCGGATCATGTTTGCGATTCCCAAGAGCTGGTGGTAGAGTGATGAATTTCGGAAGTGCATGATTATATTTTCCCAGCCCCCGTTTGGCTTGATACGGCGACGACGCATATCAAGGATAATTGTTAAGCTAAGACGCATGACGACCCCACTTGCCGGCGAGGGGTTCCGCATCCTAATACACGGAGGCAAGAAGGCGGATAGGCAGGCGGGCGGGCAAGCAGGCCGGCAGGCAGGCAGGCAGGCAGGCGAAAAAAGGGTGTGTTGTTGACGACCGCTCCCGCGAAAAATAGGCTGGCTACGATTGTTGTCAGTCGACGAACAGGTAGAATGTCTCGGCAGCCGCCGCCAACGACGGTGGTAGCGACAGCTTGCTTGTTCGCTCACTTGCTTGACCAGGAACTCCCCACGCGTCGCTAGGCCCGTCCGCGGCAAATCGGCAACACCACCAGAGCTTCTTGGCTTATCGGACGCTGTTGTCGCTTCTGACGCCAAACTTGAACGATTCAATTCAATCCGGCAGAAAGCAACTACCAACGGAACAACGGAAACGGAATCGCAGCGAATCGCAGAATCAAACTATTGTTGCTATAGTATTTGTGGTAGTGAAAGCAAAGTCATAGGCGGAAAAACGTGGAGTCGCGCGTTCGCTAGGATTTACCCAGCGTGAGACCGATGGTGGCATTCGATTCAATATTTTTTTCATTTTCTCGCTCCATTCAATTTAATTTTATTCCTTTTTCTTCGAAGTGCCTTCCAGCCCCTCGCGCCGCTTCCTTTCGCTGCGTGAATGATCGAGACGCGACACGTGATTTGCCGGATCCTGCTGTTCGTACCAGTGTCCTGTGGCAATCTATCATTCGATCACGTAATTAGCCGTCATGATTCGCCGGATCCGACACCGTCCTGATTCCCGAGGGGGGTAATTCCGGTGCAGTCATTTCGTTCGACCAAACAGGACTATTTCCTTCGAAACGGCACCGATGCCCTACTACTACTTGCCCGTGATGCACGATTTTCCTGTCAATTCTCGCTGCTGCCGCCGCCGCCGGGTCAGCTGCCAAAGATCGCGTGATAACATCACATGAGACACCTTTGTCGAATCAGTCTCAACCACGCATTACAGGCCGCAGCGGAGGGGGAGCGCGATCGAGTCCAGTTCGCGGTATACATTTTTCCCCGCAACAGGTTCGCCGCGACTCGCAAAAACGGAAGCAGCAGCTGTCGATTTGTGCACCGGTGACATGATGGGAAAACATCAGAACATCCGGCATCGAAATCAGAGAGAGGGAGAGAGTCGTCCATTCATCCGCCCGTTCGTCCACGATCCGCGGGCGATAACCGGTGGGACCTCAAGCTGCAGAGCCGACGATCGAGCTTACATAAGTTGAATCGCTCACTCAGAGAGGAGGAACTTCTCCCGAAGGGACACGTGTCGAATAATCGCACGACTCCCACGCAGAGTTGTACGTGGTACGCGAAAGTTATTGCCGTGCATTCCATTGTCGTGGCTCGCATGAGTAGCTCCCGGAACGCATATAAGAACATCATCGCAGACGCGCCTCGACGCTTTTATAATAGGAGCGAGCCGCTCCTGAGCAAAACGAGAGGCGAGCAGGGCTCGCTCGGAGCGTATTTCTCAGCGACCGGGTCAAGTTACTTCGGGACCTCGGTGAGCGCCCACGCTCGAATGTGAACGATGACACAGCGTTGGGCTCGACGGCGAGACGCCATCGAGGAACTCGTTTCCTCTTTCCCAGCAGCCTCGCCGCTTACACTACATTGTAGGCACGGGATCCGTGCCACGATTCAGCCCTCTCATCAGCCTCTTGGGGCAGGCGGTTCGATCAAAGGATCAGATCTTGGCTTCGACTCGGGCTCGATTGAGAATTTCGACCCTAGTCGGAAGCCGTGTGTCGCACGTCCATGAAGTGAAATGCTCGGGTTCAAGGGGACGATATGCGATCACTGTTACTTCATTAGAGCGGGGCTTATCATTGCCGGATCATCACACTTCCTCATCATTGTGGATGTATCTACTTCAGCTTGTTTCCGACCAACGACTTGGGGAATGAGCGAGTGATAGGGCGAGCGTGCGTGCGTTGATCCATAGCCCGAACCCCGGATCACCAGTGTAGTGCCACAACACAAGTTGTTGTTGGTCCTTTCGCTTGCCAACCACTTCGCCGAGCGACGCTCACCCCTCCGCCCACTGACAGATCTGGATCATATTTCGGCGGTCCTACGACCGTACACGAAGTAGTGATCCTGTCGTACGGTAGCAGCCGAGACACTCGGTGACATCCCGTCATGGTGTAAATCATCCTGCACGAGCCGATTCGGCGGAATTTCAATCCCATGACCCGGAGCTGCAGCTAAGCTTGTTCAAGTGAAGCGCTGCACCGATCGAATGACGTTTCCTGATCCGCGGGTCGCTACTAGGACGAAGTAAATTGATGAGCTGGGTGATTTTTTTTCTAAAATCGTAAATTCAATGATCGATTAGATCACAGCGGATCTGACTGAATGGAAGACGGGAACGCGGTCCGAGAAAGATGCAAAACAAAAACTCGATTGGGCTGGTTTTTTTGGTGAATCATTAGCGTTGGACGATGACGTCGACGCCGTCCAGGACGTCGTCATAATCGATCGCATCTCGGTGAAATACAAATGAAATGCTTGGGCGAGAGAATCCCGTTTCTCTGCTTTCTGCCTGAGAACCAAAGCATCCGGAATACAGCGTACGGGCATAATCAATGTGTGACGTGAACAATATTATGGGAGATAAATCGTCGGCCGCTTCGGTCGGCATGTCGTTCACTTTGAATTGCTACCGCGGAGTGCCATGCAAGTGACCAGATTTCGAATCTGTTCTCCCGTTCCCTGGCCGGTGATTTGCCGTATCGGATAGACGAGAATCCGTTCTCAACGGCGGCTGTTTTATCTTCTCCCAAGAGTCGATCATGCTTATTTTCCCTCCGGTTGTGCATCGCAACGCTCACAGTATCTGGTGGAGGAGAGGTGCTTCGGCTCGGATTTGTTTCTCTCTCATTCAGAAGAAAGCTCCTCAACTCGCTGCTCCATAACTCAGCGTTTTTCCAACGAGGCAGTCGGAGCTCGTGTTCGCCTGAGCTATTATCGAGAATGAAATTATCGAGACGGGCGAGCTCGAGGAACGATTCGAGGGCTGCTCGCAAGCCGTTTTCATGCTTGAGGAAGTCTTCATTCGAGCGCAGTACATCGGAGAAGTGCCAGAGAAGATATTTAGAAGATTCAAGTAGGTAACAGGCCGTGGTCGCTAGTCCGGAAACGTCGGCAATGTAAATTTGGACAATCCCGGGAGACGAAACTTAACGATGGTTTCCCCTTCTTACGCCGGCATAGCCGTTGCTGTCTGTCGACGTCGACCGACGATGGGAATGACGACCAAGTCGCCATTTCTGCCTCTTCCAGAGACATGCGACGAGAACTGCGGCGGCGACGTCAACGACAGCGACCGAAGTCAACAACATCAAAAACGACGACAACCAGACCAACGAGGGACCAAACGGGCTTGAGCAAGACAGAATTCCGGCAGAATGCCACAAAGCTCC